AGGAGAAGGAAAGGGAAGGAGAAGAAACCACTTTTTAAATCTTTCGTCCTGGCCAGGAAAATTGCCTGGGGGCGGGGACGGGGAGGGGGAGGAGGGATGAAGTAGGCAATGACCAGGCCAGGAAAAGGTTTCTCCTTCCTGTTTATCAAATGACTCCACTACTAGCGTGAAGCCTTCATTCAACAATAACAAAATCAGGGGGCTTATCTCTTTATACAACAAACACGGCCTTTTCACAATTCTAAGGCCCATAAATTAAAACTTCAAATTAATCCGTGCTCAGGACTCACCGTTTTGCCATTCTTGGCACGGATGCCAAGGGAAGTGGGAATAGACCATATGCCAAGTCAGGGAAGGACTGTCTTCCGGGTCCTCTTTTCCTCCTGACATAAACTGCGGTTGATGGAAATGGTCGTTTGTCCTCCGTAGAGATTCCGCAGCCCCCTGACCTCTGTCACGACTGGCCCAGGGGGCTGTGGTGGTTGAACCCTGCAAATGGGGACATGGAGCGGATGAGCAAGAAGGAAACCTTGATTGCTAGCAGTAGCAAACATTTTGGGATGGATTGTTACTGCATCTGAACGCGGCCTGTCTGCCTGCTAGTTATGCTGGGTGGGAGGGTGCCAGGGGACAGGAAGCCAGCAGGGAGACCTTTGAAAAAGCGATCTCCTTCCTCGAGTTCATTGTTGGTTGGGCCAGAGTCGTCGTGTAGAGGTGGGAGAAAAGAATGGATCAGTTATGTGTTTGTTGGAGCTAAAGAGGCTGTGACTTGCGAATGGACATAAAGGAGAAGGGAGAGAATTACTTATGTTAAGTCTCCCTGTCTCGTCCCTTGATTTGCTGTCGGACCACGAATTGGGCTGGAAGTTCCTCCCGCAGTCTCCTATTGGAGAATAAATTCCACTCATCGTCTCTCAAGAAATGGTCCCTGTTTTCCTTTTTCAAAAAGGGCAAAGCAGAGTTCCCTCCAGAGAAGCGAGGGGCCTAGGCCTGCTTCCCCCGCAGCCAAGGCGCCCTCTGCTGGCAAGGTCGTGAACTCTAACGAACATGACAGGTGCTGGTCAGCTGGCCTCGCAGTGGGCGATAGGGAATCGGCTTTGGCTTGATGATACTACCTGGCTGTCCCCACAGAAGTGAGAAAATAGACCTAAATCCCCCTGGCTTTGTGCCCCTCGCTCCTCCTCACGTCACCCCTTGCCTAACTGGTGGTTCAATCAGAAGATGGCTATTAAAACAGCTGCTTCAAAAGTGGGTTAGCTGGGGAAAATCTTATCAGAAGGAGAATTGTGTCAGGAGAAGGGGGGGGGGGAGAGAGAGAGAGAGATATGCAATTTAGCATTTATGCTTTCATTAAAAGGATTGTGTGCCTGGCTGGTGTGGCTCAGTG